CATTTTCCAAATTAAGGAGATGCTCAGGCGGAACAATTGCCGGCCATGCAGGCCAGGCTAACCCCGCCTGCTGCAACACCACCACCACCACCACCACCACCTGATGCAATATGATGTCATGTAGCAGAAAGTCGGCGACATCGGTAGCGCAGCTGGTTGGAAGAGCGCGGGTGATCGCGTAACGTGTCGCGTAGTCGGTCGCCACGGCAACCCATTTGTTCCCGGATGCAGAAGTGGGAAATGGCCCGAGAAGGTCGAGCCCTACGCGGTAGAATGGTTCAGCAGCGATCTCAATAGGGTTAAGAAGGCCAGCTGGAAGTGATGGTGGTTTTCGACGTTGACAAAGGTCGCAGCTGGCGACATACTTTTGCACAGAGCGATATAGGCGTGGCCAGAAAAAACGGCGCCGGATGCGATCATAAGTGCGGGTGACTCCCAGGTGACCAGCGGCAGGTTCATCGTGAAGCTGTCGGAGAACATCTACACGCAAATGGGAAGGCACGACGTGAAGGCGGTCAGGACCATTAGGGCGCATGTTGTGGCGGTAGAGAACTCCTTCATGAAGGAAATACAAGTTCAGAGAAGTGAGCGGAGTAGCGGAACTCAGGCTTTCTATGATGGGAAGTAAATCCGGGTCGCGGCGTTTCTCAGAAGCGATATCAAGAAAGTCTGATATTGATAAGACGAAAGCCTCCGTAGCTCTCTCTGTGGCGTCTGGCTGATCCACTGGATACCGTGACAAGCAGTCGGCGTCTTGATGAAGGTGACCAGATTTATACACAACCGAGAAGGTGTATTCTTGGAGGCGTAGAGACCAACGACCGAGACGTCCCGTGGGATCCTTCAGCGAGGAAAGCCAGCAGAGTGCATGATGATCAGTTACAACAGTAAAACTGCGGCCGAAAAGGTACGGGCGAAATTTAGCGACAGCCCAAACAAGAGCAAGACATTCTCTTTCGGTGATGGAATAGTTCCTCTCGGCAGGGGATAAAAGGCGGCTGGCGTAAGCGATGACACAGTCACGTCCATGCTGACGCTGAGCTAAAACAGCACCAATTCCGTGGCCACTCGCGTCCGTACGAACTTCTGTCGGGGCAGTCTGATCGAAGTGGGCTAATATTGGCGTAGTCGTGAGGGCTGCAATGAGCGCCGAAAATGCAGCACTCTGAGGCGAATTCCAAGTAAATGGGACGTCTTTTTTAAGAAGCTCGGTGAGAGGCCACGCAATATCGGCAAAATTTCGGATGAAGCGGCGAAAATAGGAGCACAAACCAAGGAAGCTCCGGACATCCTTATGAGAAGAGGGCACGGGAAATTGAGTCAATGCGCGAATTTTGTCCGGATCGGGCTGTACCCCAGATGCATTAACGAGGTGACCAAGTACAGTTATTTCGCGACGGCCGGAACGGCATTTGGAGGAGTTCAGCTGGAGACCAGCGTTGCGAAATACTTGGAGAATACTGGACAGTCGCTCTAGATGGCTTGCGAACGTCGGTGAAAAAACCATTATATCATCCAAGTAGCATAAGCAAGTGGACCATTTGAAGCCGCGCAGAAGGGAGTCCATCATGCGCTCAAAGGTGGCCGGCGCATTACAAAGCCCAAACGGCCTTATTTTAAATTGGTATAACCCATCGGGGGTTACAAATGCTGTTTTTTCTCGGTCCCGTGGGTCAACAACGATCTGCCAATAACCAGATCGAAGGTCAATGGACGAGAAAAACTTTGCGCCATGAAGGCAGTCAAGGGCGTCATCTATTCTTGGTAAAGGGTAAACGTCCTTTTTAGTGACCTTGTTGAGATGTCTATAGTCGACGCAAAACCGCCATGTGTTGTCCTTCTTCTTGACAAGCACGACCGGGGATGCCCACGGACTAGATGAGTGTTCGACAACGCCTTTGGCGAGCATTTTCTCGACCTCTTTCAGGATGACAGAGCGTTCGGCAGTGGAGACGCGGTAAGGGCGACGATGAATTGGGTTGGCATCGCCGGTGTTGATGTGATGGGTCACAACTGATGTCTGGCCTAAAGGGCGGTTGTCAAGATAGAATATGTTCGCATAGGATGTCAACAGACGGTGGAGGTTTTGTGCTTCGGAGGGCGAAAGATCTGGCGCTATCATTTTGGCAATGTCAATGCTTGACAGGTTGGGCGCAGTGAGCAAGTTGACGTGCGGAGTAGGTTGCTGAGCCGACAGTTCAGAAATATCACACTCTTGCAACGACGACATGATGCCTAGTTTAACACCAGCAGGCAGCACATGCATGGAGAAACCAAAGTTCAAAAGAGACAGATGGGTCTGATTGCGGCATACTCTCACCACGGTGTGCGGGACAGCAATGGAGTGCTTTAGCACAACGTCAGTAATAGGTGAAACGACATATTCACCATCGCGCACAGGCGGATCACACACGAGCTGCACGTGAGTCGCGGCTTGCGGCGGAAGATGCAGGAACTCGGTGGCACAAAGGCGACTTTGAGCGTCATGGGCAACAGTGGCGTCAAAAGGGAGTTCCAACTGAAGAAGACCCGTCGAGCAGTCGATAAGGGCGGAGTGCGCAGAGAGAAAGTCGAGGCCAAGAATCACGTCATGTGGGCACTGCTCAAGCACGGTGAACAATACGACGGTCTGGCGCCCAGCAATACACACGCGAGAGGTACACATGCCGAGAACGGCAGATGTGCTCCCATCGGCAAGCATTACTGCACACTTAATAGGAGGCGTGATCACTTTTCGCAGTTTAATACAGAGAGCAGCGCTCATGACTGAAATTTGTGCACCAGTGTCTATGAGGGCTGTAACGGTAACGTCATCCACCAAAAGGTCCAAAATATTGCGGCGTGTAGGAATCGTCAACAGAGGATTTGCAGAATGGGTCGTTAATACAGCGTCACCTCCGGGAGCTGCATGGTCTAGTTTCCCGAGGTTGAGGGCCCAGGTCGTGCAGGGGAGCTGGATCGAGCAATCATCGGCGAGAGAGATCGGCGGCCTTGTGGTGATGGTGACCGGCTGAACCTTCGGCCCTGAACGTTAGTAGGAGCAGGCTGTGGATCGTACGGAGTAGAAAAGCGGCGAGAACTGCCTTCAAAGCGACGCCATGTCCCAGTGTTCCAAGATGAATTGGATGACCAACGATTGCGACAGTAGCGTGCAATGTGGCCGGCGCGAGAGCAGTGAAAGCAGATCGGTCTATCATCCGACGTTCTCCATTCAGCAGGGTTCCGGTGGCGGGAAGGGTAGCGTGAAGGGTACACCGGAATCTGGTTAACAGAAGCCGAGCTCTCGGGGGTGCGAACAGCGCAAACAGGTGTGATGCCGAGATTTGCTATTTCTTGGCCAACGGCGGCTTGGATGAGGGAGACGGTGGATGCGTTGTCTTGAGGACCGTCAGAGGCGATGGCTGCAGGAGCCATTGCTTCGAGTTCGCGACGAACGATTCGGGTGACATTTTCGGACGATGTAGCTTGCGTGAACTTGGGGCTGTCTTCACAGGTCGAAGTGGCTGCAGTATTAGGCAGACGCGGGTTATGCGACGCGGGTTAGGCGGGTTATGCGACGGTTCTTGGCATGCTCGAAGCGCTGACACTCTTTCACAACCGCATCTACGGTGGCGCAATCTTTAACGATCAACAGATTGAAGGAGTCATCGGCAATTCCCTTCAATATGTGAGCGATTTTGTCAGTTTCGCTCATGTTCTCGTCCACCTTTCGACAGAGGCCCAATACGTCCTGTATGTAAGATACATATGATTCTGCCGATGTCTGCACGCGACATTCCAGGTCTTTCCTCGCGGCCTGCTGTCGCCCAAATGGCCTGCTGAATAACTCGAGAAGCTTCAGTTTGCAAGCGTCCCAGCTGGTCAACTCCGACTCATGCGTCTCATACCAGGTGAGCGCCGTATCCCGCAAATAAAATACAACGTTGGCCAGCATCAACGTAGGGTCCCACCTATAGTATTCGCTGCCGCGCTCGTACAAAGCGAACCAATCTTCAACATTCACCTTGTCCTTGCCTGTGCCCGAGAAGGTTCCGGGGTCTCGTGGAGGCAGGAGAATCGGAGGAGGCAGCTGCTGCTGCTGCTGCTGGTGCTGCTGGTGCTGGTGCTGGTGCTGCTGGTGCTGCTGCTGCTGCAGCTGCGGCTGCTGTTGCTCTTGTGGGTGGGCCTGTTGAGCCATTGCAGGAAAATGAAGGTGGCGACCACTCCTAAGTTCCGTGTTGGTTTGCCGGAAAAGCCAGGTAGGCGTACCCCGCACCTCCACCAATAATCTTACAAGAAAACGTATATTTACAGATATTTACAACGATTACACGCGATGACAATGCCTGGCGCACTGGCGGGCTGGAACCAGTCTCTATCCACTTCGTCGTCTTTTCTTTCAGCCAGGGACCCTCTACCGCTTTATGCCCCAATCCCACTACTGCCTTGTGGCAATATGGTGTTAGGAATATAACTTTATACCGAATATTCAGATATAACAACCCTATTTTCTTGTAATATGAACTTAGTTATAGTAAGGTTTGAGTGTTAAAGGAAAAATTTTAAGCTAGCCTTGCTAAGCTTAATTAACAACTAGGCTAATGACCTTAAAACGTGGTTTTTCAGCTGACGGTGGGGCCTTCCTTGGCTATAGAAAAAATATAACCGAACCGCAGCGTGTCACAGACCATAAAAGAATGTTCCACCTCAGAACTAACACAAAAACCTGGTGTGGGCCTATCTTCTCTACTCACACCACAACAGGCAAACTCAGTACGGCAGTTGCACAGACCGTCGGTGGGCATGGCTTGAAAGCAGCAGCAACTCCTTAACACGTGCCCGGCGGGGCGAGGGTAAACACAGGTGATCCGTAGCTGTGACAAGCAACGGCGCTGAAATTTCAAGTGCGAAGCATTTCTTTGCGCACTGCAGGCACTTTGAGGAGGACTGACCGACACATCAGGTGACGTCTCAGTCTTCAAAATGCCTCAAAAAGGAAAGCTTCAAGTGAGTGAGCTCACCTGGGTTGCGACCACTCAGGTGATGAGCCAGCCTGTCGGTCACTTCGTACTGGCTCTCAATGAGACGTGCCTCAAGGTCCAGGTGCCCAGCATCTCTGAAAGGCACAGTTTGCATTCTGCCAAGGCACAAAACACTTCGCCCATCTATCGCACAATCAATAACAGCAACACAGATTACTTATATAGTAAGTCGGGGGAGTCGTGAATATCCTCACTATAAGCGTTACCACATTATAACCAAAACAGCCTTTTCAAGGCCCGCACTTGCGTTAAATGGGTTGAGCATGCAGCCTCACGTGTCCGAGAATCGAAACATGCGATGTGTGGTGCTTACAAAAAAAAAATTTTTGTAAGAAGACACACATTGCTAACGAAATGAATGCGAAAAGGGGGAAGAGATATAACAAAAAAAAGCCCCAACACGACAATTCACCAACTGCTTCCAGACAGCCTTGATTATGTGGGTTACACAGAAACTATGCTGAATCATGTCCAGAATTTCACATGCTGAAAGACGCCAATCTTTTGATTTCATGGGCGCACACCCGAAATCAAGACATCCCAATCTAATCGCGAACCACCATTTGAGCGCTACATGTGCAATTCTCGTTTTCAGTAACGATATGTATCCCTTCTTGTCAAGAGCAACCACCGCACAGAGTTCCATTAATTCTGTACCAAACTGCAACTCAGATAGCATGCGATTGCTACCTGAACATAACCAACACCGATTAGGCCTGGCCTGCCGTTCATTATGTTGTCACAGGAAGTTTGTCCAAGACATGAAGATCTCACGTTGAAAAGTTTGCTATTTGCTATGCGAGCGATCGATACCTTGGCAAAAAGCATTAAATAGAGATACCTGGCACAGTCTGCAGGTGTCATGCCTTGAGAGTCCTTCGCAGTTGGGTCTGCCCCGTACACCAGCAGGAGCTCCACCTGGCATGCCTGGCCGCTCCGTGCTGCCACGTGCAGTGCCGTGCTGCCTTTGTCCTGCAGCACACGGTTACACAGCACATTCAATTCTGCCACAAGGCTGCACATGCATTCTGAAAGTGCAATGCACTGCACGAGCTGGTCTGTCACTGAAGCTGACATGAATTTCCTGGTGCCACCCTCCTAACAAACCTTTTTCTTCATGACAAACTTAACAGCAGAGTTGCTACTGTGCAAACAATGATCGAAAATGAGCCCCCCCAAACAACATCGAGACTTTCGTGAGCAAGCCCGCAAGAAGCAAAAACTTATTGAATTTCGCCAGTTTTGAAAATGTGTTTACTTTAATAAAAATGTCACTCAAGTACGAAGAAGAGCTTTAAAAATCGCTGAATTTTTTAGCACAGCCCCGCACAGATTCCGCAAGTCATTTTCATGCGAAACCCAGCCCATATGTTTCGCACATGCTCTTTACTGCATCATCGATTACTTATCTCAGGCAGACTGCATATATTTTGATTTTTTAGAAGCATTCGACAAAGCCTCACATGGACAGCTACTTCTTGAATTACGTAATCTTAATATTGATGCTAATGTGCTTGAATGGTTTATCTGGTTTCTTTCGAACCACTTTCAATTTGTAACAGCCAATAACATTGACTCACATCCTTTACCCATCTGATCAGGCATGCCTCAGCGGTCCGCTCTCAGAAACCTCCTCTTTCTCGTCTACAGTATAACCTCATTATAATAGATCTGCTTACAACAGACATTCGGATAATACAAACTAATTTGTGGCATTATGCTGACCTCCCTATTTGTTCCATTGATTGAGCTTCGTTTAATACGGATTATCATACAAAGGACATTCGGGTAGAATCGACTAAAATGTGAGGCCAGCAAATTGGTCAAGACTCCGTTACAGCCGACTTTTCTACCGCGGACATCCCAAACTTTTTAACTTCTAACTTGAAACATCGCTTGGCATACTTTCGAGATGGGAATAGCACCACGGGTATTGATGAAGACTACCAATGTCTAGTCCGTTAATGATTAGTTACGACAAGCTACAGCGGTGAAAAAAAAATTACGGGCTGCGTGCTTGGTTTTACTGACACACAAAATTGTTGACCGCTGTTCCGAGTAGTCAGTGCGTGGTGAGCTTTTACGAAGTACTTTCACAATAAACCCACAATGGTGGTAGGCAGTTGTGCCACTATGAAGCTATAAATTTTCAAAAAATGCAGTTTTCTTGTTGTTTTTTTCGTTTATGACTTTCACAATGATTCTCACCACGTCGGCTGGCGCAAAAGCTTTTAATCGCACTTCTACATAGTTCTCAGTTGAGATACTTTAGAATCAGATAGAAAAAGGGCTACAAAAACTAAAGATGTGATTTTAAAAAACTTACATTTTTTTATGCCCCATTAAAAATATGACTCGTAGTTCTCTGAATCGTACCTGACTAATTCAGTGCCTACATAAAAGTCTATTGTAATAATACTTTGGTTTTTCGTACTACTTTCCCAAGAGACCAAAGTTCTCTTCCCAATGAAGGTCTCTTGTGTCTGTTCTAATGAGAGTAGGTCAAAGATAAAACTTGTTATTGTGGCCTAACTTGTCGCTGGTCAGCGAAAAGTCAGATTGCAGTGATACACAGTGGCACTGATAGCAGCGAACAGTGTCAGATGTCGATCAACTGACAAGTGGCCAAGTGGCAAAGCGCGTCGGCATTTATACATGTGTTTTGCGCACAATTTGAACAGCATGATCTACAATAATCGTGAACCTTTTCGTACAATGAGATGCAGTTTGTGCCAAGCATTCCTGACAGGCTTTGTGGGTGAAAACTGAATGAAAGAAGAGTGAGAATAAGGAATCCATGTATCAACATAAATGACTTACCAATGAACATTTATTTTTCAATAAATATTTTTGCTAATAATTGTGTTACATATTTACCGTGAAATTACCGGCCATAATGACGTCTCTTGTCTTCAGTCTAACATTAACAATGTTTCGGATTGGTGTACCCTTTTCAGTACGAAACTAAATATCAATAAGTGCAAGCACATGTGCATCTTTCGTAACTCAAACGAACCTTCTACTTACCACATTAACAATGCTGCTCTTGAAACTGTGTTCTCTTATAAGTATCTGGATGTTTATATTTCTTTAACCTGTCCCAGAAAACTCGCATCATTCACATAAATAACCCCAACCACATGCTTGTGTATTTTTGCAGGAACGTTTCTATTACATTAAAGGTGACCATATTCCTCAATGTCAGGTGCCGACTCATCGTAGTCTTGACACAGTAGCACTGAGTCCAGCATGGTGTGCACTTCATGGCCACAGAGAAGCCGTAATAATGTGTATTGTGTGGTCGCTTGATGGGGAGCGATACGCACGAAAGATGATGTTCAAGGAAGTGATGCGCACAATCAAGATGATTCATCAATAAGCCCAAGTTGAAAACCTCCGCATGGCCTCTTGCACCGCGGTGTTATACACGAAGGTCACATAAGGCAAGATCCGCTCCCATTTTTTGTGTCATACCTTTATGTACATTGCGATCATGTCTGTAAGCGTCTTAATCAGTCGCTCGGTAAGCCTGTTGGTTTGCGGATAGTATGCGGTTGTCTTTTTGATGCCTGGTGTTGCTTAGTTCAAAAACTTCATAAGCTGCGCCATGAATGCTGTCCTTCTGTCCGTTATTACATTGGAAGGAGCATCGTGACGCCACATGATGTGGTACATATAAAATTGCGCTACCTCAGAAGCCATGGTTTGTAGGATTGCCTGTACTTCAGTGTAGCATGTTAAATAGTCGGTTGCTACGATCACCCATTTGTTGCCATTAGCAGACAGGGGAAATGGTCCGAGAATATCCATGCAGACTTGGTCGAACGGTGTGCATGGTGCTTCAATTGGCTGAACTAAGCCAGCCAGCTTATTACCCAGTACTTCTACAGCATCGTGACTAACTGGGTAGCCCTCTCGGATGTTGCAGACTCCTCCAGGAATTATTAAACTTCTCAGCACAAAAACTTCCGACAACAAACACAAGAGACGAGGACGAGCGCAGTGAAGAGGGGCTTCCTCCAGAAAGCCCCTCTTGCCTCCGACCAATTGCATGCCAGTGGCTATACGCTTCACCTGCTCACACTCGTATTGCGCCAAAGCTGCCTTTCAAGCTCCCTGCTACAGACGCAAATGTTTCGACATAACAACATGCTGGTTCCAACATGGAGATTTAGCAGAAGTAGAGGCTCAATTGATGCTGTTTTGGACCTGAAATTTGGGCTGAAGTCTGAAAAATCAGACGACTAAGATAGCATAGGCTACAAGCTTTTGAAGCACTTCCGAAGAGCCCTGCTTGGAGAGGAGCCTCACAGAGAAAGAGAAGAAAACTACAGTCGTCCCATACATTCATGGCGTTAGTCACCAGTTCAAGAAAATAGTAGGATGATCGGGAGTGGATTTGTTTTTTCGGCCTGTGCTAAGCAGCCTGTGACGACAGATGAATTGCCGTCATCTTGCTCGAAAACTGTGCACCAAGCAGCAAACGAAACCATTTGTTGTGTGAAAAAGTGAGGTGGTGTATGAGATCCCAATGTCTTGTGGACACTCGTACATAAAACAAATGGGGCGTTGCCTACGTGAACATGCGTGTGACATCTGAAATTGTACCGGGAGCACATTAGCCATGTATGTTGCTGACTGCGCATGCCGATTTTCATTCGAAGAGTGCAAAGTGATAAGCCTGTAGGCAGACAGGGGGAGACTAGAGCTTTGAGAAACCTTTGAAACTGCCAGACTAAAACAAGAATATATCAACTTTTCATCCGATGCCATTTCGCAAAAAGATCCGTTTCCTCGAAAGCAGAGTAGGTGTAGGTGTGATAAACTTGATAGTGGGTGCATTACGCTTTGCTGGTGCTGTGACGTCACATATGTTTTCCTTTCCTTTTTCTTTTCTCTCTTTTTGCACATCTCGTGAAAATAATTTCAGTAGCTAGTCAGCGCTGTGCATTTCTGCTTCTTGCGACTTTTCATCCTGTCTAGGCCCGCTGTTTCACATTACGTACGTACCAACTGGCCCACAAAGAATCTGTGTTGTACTAGCTTAGTGTGGGGTCTTGTGGCTGCGCATAAGTTCTGGTCAAAATATCCACATACTTAAATTTAGGTTCATATTACAGAGCTCCATGTAGTTGCATGTAGTTTAGTGATGGTCGTTTGTTTATTAGACAGGCCATTTTGGGCGCCATTCAGAGATTCCCACTGCTGTGTGGACGAGCCCGGAGAACTGCATAAAACAATTTTGGCATCTTCAGTCGACTCTTCAAACTTGAAGGGACCTCCAAACTTTAAGGGACCTTCAAACTTGAAGGGACCTCCGAATTTTGTTTAATTTATCAAGAAGTTTGAATTACCAGAAGTTCTCAGATATATGAATATGGGCTTGGTGACACCACACATCATGATTAGGCATTTAAAATGTACTGCAGAAAAGGTACTGCAGGAAAGGTGGCTTAAGCAGCATTCTTTGCATGGATTCGAACTGAAGCCAATAAATTTTCTAACCACTACACCTCTCCCCCTTCCTACCCTTCCCACCCTTTTTTTCTTTCACCGTGGGGTTAATGCCGCTTCGGCTCCTTTGCAAGGCATGCGCCCGTTGGCGCAGCAACGGTACCGCATATCTATCGCCAGGACCATGGCCAGGACGATGCATATTTAGGACCAAAAAAAAATTGTTACATGTGCCACTGCTAAGGCAGTCAACGTGGTACGTCAAGCTTGTTCGCGCGAGTTGGCAGCATATGCTTCCAACTCAAGTTTGTAACAAGCCACAGCCGCGTTCTCAGGCAAAGAAATTTATATTTTCCACAAAGCGTTGGTGGCTACAGCAATGCAATTTTGTTTTGAAGTTCTGTTGTCCGACAATAGGTATCTGCTGCTGTCAGCGAACCGAATAACGCGCAGCGTTGCTACTTTACCTGGTCGATCGTATCTCTCGATAGTTAGGATCTGCGCGCTTTGACTGATCACGCAAACTGCAGGTGGCCGATGTGGCCTGCTTTTCTCGCCGAAATTAGCACAATTGAGAAAATTTTGGAGCTGGGTGAACATTTTGCAGCAGCGTGGTGCAACTTCAGCTAATTTCATGGTTTTGGTGCAGCTCAGCGCAACAATCGCAAATTGTACCAAACTGGCAAAATTGGCGCAGCTGTTGCACCCCTGCAAGCAGTATTCCAACACGCCCAGCTTTCCTTTGTGGTACACACAATTCCCAGCCATTAACAACTCGCTTTGAGACTTACAGGGTGCAGGTGGGATGGCAGAGCTCCCTGGGCCAGTAGGCGTAAGCTGGTCTCCAGGTTGGCTGTACGCACACTCGCATGCAGTTGCTGCACAGAGAGACACTGCTTGAAACATCGGCTTTTTGCATAAAGAGTAGCCACTCAACACTATGCTTCCAAGCTGGAAGGGAGAATTCCTAGCGTAGTGACTAACAACTTGCATATTTTTTGTCCAAGTAGAAAGATGAAATAGCAAAGAAAATGGGACAGCCCTGAGTGCAATTGTACTGCTGGCCTCACTCATGTGGCTAAGTGCAATAAAGCCAGAACTTAGACCTCTTTTTTTTTTGTTTACTATGCACTGTATTCAGAACACCAAGCAGGAGGAAAAAAATGTAAACAATCGGTGATGGATCTGGGGGGGGGGGCATATGCGCGATCACCTTTTCCCCAAGCTTGTGTCATCTGCCCCCCCCCCCCCCTCTTCTGTTCTTACTATCAAGTCCACCTCCTATCACCGATTAGAACTAATGAGTGGAACCACTGTGAGCACACATCATTAGTATTTTGAGTTTTTGTGCTCGTAAAAACAAAAAAATTAACAACCCTGCCCCCTCCCCGGTGTTGCTTTAAGCGACCGCCCTTCCCTAAAATGAGTCGCTGGACCTACCAACTAGCCCAAGCTGCCACACTTCCAGTCAACAATAAATCTCTAATGTGTAATCGAAAAGCAAGCATGAAGAGAATGTTCAAGAGCTGTCAAAAGAGATCCAACAGTAAGGCATTGTCAATAATCAAGATTACACAAAACTAACACGTGTTTTAAACCATTTCCAGCTCATATCCACAAAAAATCAGGGACAAAGTGACAAACAGGATAGAGACCAAATCCATTCCCCCCCTTTTAAAGCATTTTTGGGTGCATTCCTTGAAACTTCCGGTTTATAAGATTCAATAGGAAAATTGTGGCTACCTTGTCAAGAGTATTGAAAGGACGATGCGACGTTCAGCTGAGCCGGCGACTAAGTGCCCGGTACTGTTTACTGATACCCTACATATAAATGTCTGTAAACACTCAGTGGCACCCTTTGTTAATTGGCTACTAGTGTTAGTGCAAGTGATGCCACCTATGTTTACTACAACAAACTACAACAACACTACATCTCCCTTTCGAGGATCTACAAAGTCAGTTTTTTGGGTGAGACTACACGCCTCCCGGACCTGGTAACCTTGTGCAGTATGTTGTCAGGATCTGCCCAGGTACTTGTATCATGCTGGCCAGGTGATGGTTCCTCCTGGATTACCCTGTGCTCCTGGTTTAGCCCCGGGCTCGGAAAAAAGACTGGGGATGATGCGCTGGTACATGGGGAGAAAGGCACGAGATGACGTTGATTTCGTTGTATAACTCTGCTAGGAGTTTCGATGATGTATGATCGTGGGCGCTGGGCCCAGCTAAGAACTTCAGCCCGACACTCGGCATCAGTTACCCACACCTCGTCTCTTGAAGAGAGGTCCCGGAGCTCTCTCGCCCCATGGCGACGGTTGAAGTCCCGAGCTTGCCATTTCTTGGTGGAGGCGTCCTTTTGCAAGACAACGTCTGGTTGTAATAGGTCCGGTGACAGCTTGCCCTGGCCCCTGGGAATCTGTGTCAGTAACCTTCGCCTCATGAGGAGTTGAGACGGGCTGTATTCAGCGACACCTGGTGTGTCATGATACGCCAGCAGTGCGAGAAACCAAACATTGCTCTTGTGGAAAAGATCCTTCAGAGTCTCAACTTTAAAAGATCTGAAATGAGAAGCTAAAATGCAGGGAGGGCTTCTTTGAAGACCACATGGTTATCACAGGCAGTTCCTAAAACAACTAGATTACAGCACACATAAAAGCTTCCTATTCCTCACAAATTTGGAAATTCTCAACCAGTGGCTGGTTGCATTTTCCAACATGAGAAATACAGTTTTGAGCAAAGAAGGAAACTGAAGTTGAAAAATGAGTTCTGATGTGCAAGCATATAATCAGTGATGCTACCAAGGACTGTTAATTTGGAGCTATTTTTGCAGCAGCAAAGCTTTTAAGCTGGAGCAACAAAAATTTCCATCTCTGAGCATTTTCAAGCTTAAGAACAGGTAATTTTGCACTTAGGAGCTCTTTGGAGCAGCTGATCCTGAAATACACTGGAGAAGCAAGTTGCATTTACATTCAAGCCATTGAATATATATTATGGGGATTTTATGACAAGATGATAGTTATAGCACGAGAACCAAGCGATGACAAAGAGCAAAAAGGGACAGTTGTTCTGTTCTCATGCTATAACTATCATAATGTCATACCAACTAGCCCAAACCACCACACTTCTAAGTTACATATATGACAAAATAGAAATAGTTCGACTTATTGCGTATCTCATAGAGAAAATCATCTCACAGGAACACTGTATTTACCTTCATAATGCAAAAAAAGTAATGGCCTCACGCAAGTGAGTGTTCTGGAATAACCTGTAAAGTGATTATTTTTGATGCTAGCAAATAAACACACTACTGGATGAATAAAGTTGTACTTAAAAATAACACTATAAATACTACACCTAGACAGGAAATGCTGCCCTGTGTGGTGCATCGGCCTCTCTAACACAGAAGCAACTTCTGCACTGTGCGGAAGTTTATTTCTGGTTAATCACGCAGTTTGAATATGCCGAGGATTCACTGAGAATCGTCACACCTCACGTTCTTGCATCGAAATTCTGTATAGGCTCTGATGGAGTGGTCTGGCATTTTTCTCTGTTATGATTCAATGTTTTGCAATTGGAATCTGCCAAGTTTCTGACGACAACAAAAAGCAATTCTTGTACTGTAGAAGCACGGTTTTCAGCAGATCCTTCTCATGCTTCGGAAGGCTCGGGTTGACGTTAAAAGCTGAAGGAGAGGCTTGGTTTCTCGGAGCAGGTTTCGTAGAATCAGTGAGGGCCAACAATTTCCTCAATGTGGGTGACCTTGGTGCCTTTGTTCACATGCTTGTACTCGTTCCTAAGGTCTGCAAGCATTACTGTTGCTTTCCCTCCACAAAGGTCGGCAATTCGCCTTGTGATGCATATCTCGCCATAGGTTAGCAGGTGCTGCTCACCTTCAATGAGGCCTTCCAGTTCTGCAGATTACCCAGTCCCGACGAAAACGATGATGCTTGAGCAAGGTAGAATGGTGACTTGGTTTTCCAGCACATTCAAGGCATGCTTTCATGCAATTGTCGAACAGTAGTACTTTTTTTCCGTCGATAGTGTTAATCTACTCAGATCCCAGGTCAATGACTGCCCCACAGAGATCTAAGAAGTCCCTACCTAGGATAACGTCTATCAAGCAATGCTGTAGGACTTTGAAAGTAATTGGATAAAAGTAATTTGAAAGTAATTGGATGGTGACTCTCACTGTGCAGATTCCCATCAGCGCTGTTAGGTGACCATCAGCTGTCCCAATTTCTAAGCCTTCTTAGGCGATCTTTTTTTAACTTCCTGATGAATGGCCCACTGTTGACAGAGTAATCTGCTGTAGTATCAAACAAAGCAATGACGTTGTGGCTGTCAAGAAAAACATCGAGGTCCCTAGTGCGTTGCCTGGCCTTGAAGTTTGATCACTGCATCGGATCACAACTAGGTGAGTTTGCTTCCACGCAACATCGTCGGGTCTTTTTCTGGCCGCGAAGTTTCAACTTCTAGTCTCAGCCCTGTTTGCGAGGTCTTCTTCAGATTCCATCGCATCAGCATCAGCAGATGATCTTCGTAGTTCTTCATACAGTAACTGCACTTCCAATGGTTGCTGCCCTTAGTATCCCAGGTAAGAGCTCTGAGGTTGGCCCCGTGCAGGGCCGACGAACTGCCCGCGATGCGGTGAGGTGTAGCGGCCTGGTGATGCCAAATGGTAAGGTCAACAAGTTGTTGGCTGCGCTCCTATGAGGTAGTCAGCAATGCCGTGCGGTCGTTCACCTCGCTGTGGTCTCGACGTGTTGACTGCAAAAGCCTGTAGACCCACCTGTCTGTTTTGTCAGTGGCGGTATGTGTGGCCGGCATCCCCACAATAGTTGCAGAGCAGGCAATGGCCAATTGTCAGGGGAGTGCCAAAAGTCATTTTTTCTTGGCACGTATCGGTGGCTGACACGAGACTGGTAGAATGGCTGTGGCGGCAGCAGTGCTGTCTGGTAGTGGAACTGCGGCAATGCGGTGCCTTGACGTTGTCGCCTAAGAAGAAGGGGACGGCGGAGTGCAGCAGCATAGCTCATAGCTTTCAGCTGAGCTGTGGTGCTTTGGGAATTCTAAGCGATTGCCAAACATCTTTGCAGACAATGTCGGTGATCGAATGCACTTGAGGTTGCAGCGAAGGTAAGAGCTTGCACAGCTCCTCCCGTACAATCGCTCGGCTGGTTTCGCGCAAGTCATCGGTGGCGAGTGAGTGCGCTTCTGAATAGGCTGCAGACAATTCTGAGTGATTGTACTATTCTGTTCACACGTCAAGTGTCTTTTCAACAGTCGCAGCTTCAGTGAGAAATCCGGCGATTGCCGTGGGCGGGTTGTGGACAAGTCCAGCGAATAGTTCTCGTTTAACACCCCGATTGAGAAGCCAAACTTTTTAAATATGACTGCATTTCTTAGTCTTGCTATGTCAGGCATCCAGCGTTGTCCGTGGGCCGGCAGGTGTAATCTCTTCGCTCTCACACCTCTCTCATAGCAGCAGCTGCGGGCCCGCAGCGCTTATCCTCGCCCCTAGCAACCGGAGCATGTGGTGCAAGAGAGTGTAAAAACGGGTAGGTGCTGTGCTTCGTCGCTCTTCTCGCTGCTCGCTCTCTCTAACCCCGGCCCTCCACTCTACCGCCCTCCGCTCGCTCTTCACTTTCGATTGTTTGCAGGCCTCTCAAGAACACCCGGAAATATTTGCTCGAGACGCCGCTGTGGAAAGCCAATGCCAACCCGAGAATGCTGGCACCTCACTCGCCCATCCACTCGCTCCTCACTCTCGACCATTCACTGGTTGGGCACTTTTCAAGGCGATGGCAGAAGTCGGAGAAGGTGAATGTGTGACGGCAACAGTACCCTCTTTCGGCACAAGAAATGCATTCGCATTTCCTCACGATTCTCTTCAAGGAGGTGGGGATATTTTTTTTTGTTTCTAGACATCGCAGCGTCGGCTCAGCAAAAAAGTCGAGTCATCTCTTCTATGAAGTTAATGACATTTTTGTTTCGTAGCTGCGCCCAGGTTTCTAGCAAAAAAACTGCCCTAGCAAAAAAACTGCTCCAACCTGAGAAAAGATCTCGGGTTGGAGGTGTGGACTTTCGGTTTACAAGCCAAGTTCTTGTGGAGTTTTTGAGGTAGAAGTATATGTGACGCAGCTTGTCTGGGATGCTCTAGTTGTTAAAGGGGGCAACACAATTATATGTTTTCAGCCAGGTTTCCAAGTCTTCGAGCGATGAACCGTGGGAAGTTGGTGGCTCCTTGGGTTGCTAGAGCAGGATCAGTGTAGGGGGCAATGGGAGCTGTCATTGCCATTGAGGTTGAGGTCAAGGTTTTTGTTTGCCAGGTCTTTTCAAGTCGAGGCCCGAACTCTGCCGGGGGTAGGATTGCTGCAAGGGGTAGGTGTCAACGTTTTCATCACAACTGGCACTGAGTGCACAGCTTGACGGGGGCATACGGTGTGTGGACGAACAGCCCCTCCACCAGTCACGGGGTCGTGACGTTGACAAAGGCAGCAGTTGGCATGTCCAGTGTGAAACTCTTATTTGGTCAAACTTGTGGCCTAGAAACAGAAATTCAAAATTACGGCAAGCGATGCACACTGTACACTGATATCAACGAACACATACCGTCGATAATCTGATTTGCGACAGCACACCACGGCATTTATGCACGCGGCATCAACCATTAGAGCGTAATTGCTGGTCATCGTGTTTGTTCTAGAGTAAACTCGGCTGTTCATGTTTTGCACACTACACATTCCAGCCGAAAAGATGATCCAAAAGCTATCTAGAATGCTCAGACATTATGGCGCAAATCGCACATGGCAGTATTTACCCATGCAATGCACCAGCAACATAAAACCTAGAAATGAGCATGTGTGGCATTACCCTGTTTCAAGAATCAAGGTGCTTGCTAGGTGAAACGCAAGAGGATCTGAAAAATGCACATACAGCTGGCTACGTTGATTTTTCTGACATCTGTACCAGGACTGCACTTTGCACAGTTTGTCAAGTCAAGATAGCAGGAAGCTGGACCGCAACAGACATGATCTTGAAACAGAGTCACTTGGCATCTAGATTTCACAAGTGGCTTAAGATGATGCAGAACCACAATAAAAAGAAAAACAGGGTAAAGTGGAACTTGGAGCACACTCAAACTTCAACATGCCTTGGCTACCGCTGGGTGAATCTGCTTTCGACTGGCATCACCATAGCGCTAAAATCTTGGTCAAGCAGGTGCTATTGCATTGCGTGTCTTAATAGGGGCCCTAGCACTCACAAGCTTGAAAGGGCCAAGCCCCTTGGGGAATGGTATTTACTGGAAGTGCGACTACAAACCTGTTGTGCGTATTGAAGGAATCGCGATTAAACTCTTCTGGATAAAGATCCAAGGACAAAGTCTATTCGAGAAAAAGCGTCAATGCCTTCTCTCTGTTCACATGCTCTTCCATGAATGCAAAACACCTGATAATTCAATACTGTTGCACATATCACTGCCAGCAACCCTAGATCTCGTTGTGTGATGTCCACACACAGAGATGATAGGCATTTTAGCGACACGTGCATAGTTATCCCTGAACATTGCTTTCATTACATGCCATGCAATGCTTGAAACAAGCTATCCTAAGTGTTTCTGGAACAAACGACATCTAATCAATTGCCACCACACTTTCACGCTGCTGATTGGCCTAGACGTCTTGAACCACTGCATATAGCACCGACTTACACTGCATAAGCAGCGTCGGCATCGTGCATGGTGCCATGACTTACTAGGGATGCACACGTGAGCACTATTGTTTCAGCAGAATAATTCTTGGTCTGTCATTGCGACCTTGACAGCACCAAGATCAAGCTGCACAGCTTTGGACATGCATGATAGAGATCCAAAACCCAAAGACCCTGGTGCAGTAAATCTTCGCCACACTTTAGTGCAGTTGGCCCCAAATGTGTAATCTTTCTCTCTAGGATGGGCACAATGATAACCACCTTGCTGAGGTCCTCCTGTGTTGGCTGCTCCCCTTCCTTGGCTGCCCTGTGCACAAAGGCCAGGTTCTGGTGCTTCGCACGTATGAACTCAGACTTCACTGGGCTGCGAGGAGAGTACGTACAAATGTTCAATAACCAAGGCCGAATTTCTTACAAGCTACCAATCGATAAAAAACTTTTATTTGTGCACACTGTCCAGTTATATCGGGAAGCGTTAACAAAAAAAAGAAAAAAAACATTTGGTTGCAGAGTTTAGTCTCTGACATTCAAAGCATGTAAAGAGAATAAATATCTTAGCAGCTGAGGAAGGTAAATGTCATAAGTGACTGATTACACAGCAGAATCTCAACAGCCCCTAATCCTCGGGGCACTGCGAAATTTTACATCCTCCCAAATTCATGAGATTCGAAACAAGGCAATAGATGAATAGTAAGAGCACATTGAAGACACACACATAGAACTTCTTTAAAAAGTTCATTTTGTGATTCCAATGCTACACGGCAAAACTTGAGCACATCTGCTGCACAACGCCACAGTAACATTGCTAGGAACCAAAATGGGCTGGGTTTGCATAATACTCTTGATGAAATTGCTGAGGCTCAGCCTATAGCACAGAGAGAGTGGTCGCTTGGTACGCCAGCTGGTAGGTATATCTTGCAGTCAATAGGAGAATCGGTGGCGACTCGTGAAGGTGCGTGCCTATACAAGTTAACAGTGAACATCAGGACTAATACCATGGTTTGTCCGTTTCCGCGACATGTTCACCCTGTGCATATACCCTAATGTCACGAGCTAGGGCACTGCTGCGCGAGGCAAAGAATCAGGAGAAAGAGTTTTTGTTTGTTTACGCACCATGGATTAACGGGAAAAATGCTTACTCGGTGGTGGTAGCAGATGGGGAAGGGAGCTTTCGAAATGCCGCTTCCGTTTATACGAAAGATCCGGGGGTCGCTGAGCAGGTGGCTATTGCCCTAGCACTCATTGATTCGGGAAGCGTTTTAGTATTTAGTGATTCTCGCTCTGCAATTAAAGCCTTCTTGATGGGAGTTATTAGCGAACCGGCTTACAGACTGCTGCAGGGTAAGGACATCACTGCGCATACCATTACTTCGTTTCCAGCGCACATGGGGTCAGTGGAGGGAGCCCCACGTAACCTCAACGAGGTGGCACACAGGGAGGCACGAGGATTAGTGTGCCGTGCAATCCCTGAGGCAGCTGAATCTCCCACTCTGGAGTTTAGGGACCAGCTGTTGACATATAACGATATCACCAAACATTATTACTTAGAGCGCAAGAAATTTTCCCTGCCACATTCTGGACTTAACAGGCCACAGGCAGTTACATTAGGACTTCTGCAGATGCAGACGTACCCCGACCTGGTCGTCATGAATAAAATTAATCCAGAATGCGGGGATTTGATTGATTGTAGTAAGTGTGCGGGCTTGCTTGATTTTCAACACATGCTATGACGCTGCTCGACAATGGCCAGTGCAGCTTCTCACGGTGAACAGTAGTGGCAGCGAACGCTACACAGTGACGCACTGGCGGACCAACTCAGGGCTGCCCAGAGGGCCCGTGTGGCGGCAGAGGGGCTCAGCCTCTCTGTCCCGGCGTGGTAGCAGCCAGCATCAGTCCTGGACTGATCCTCAGGACTTCAGTAAAGTTCTCTATACTATATACCATAATGGGCGCCAAGGAAATCAAATCCTTTTTCTTAAAGTGACAGAAGCTACACTTCTCACCCATCTTTTTCAATCTCCGCTGCTTCCATATGCTCACTTGTAAGCTGATTTCTATTTCTTGCCACAACTTTGTAGAAATAGAGAGAGATGGTATGAAGAGAGGCACAGAGGTTTTGTATTGAAAAAAGGATAGCAACCGCACCTCTTACAATGCATTGATAGTAAACCACCTGCCTCGTTTCTAACATTATAATGGTGTTCATGAAGCTGGCCATTGAGGCAACGATTGGTTTGACCAACGTAGCTCTGCCCACAAGACAGCGGCAGGCAATACACTGCAAACTCAACGCAATCAAAAAATTAGTTTTTGGAATTCCTTTTGCACCCCTGATATTCATTTGCATTTCTTGTCGTAATCTTGCCAACCTTTCCAAATTATTCAACGCTGAAAAGAAGCACCCACACTTTGACCCGCTGAGCACTCCTTTCCTGATTATTGGGTACTGCATGTACATTAAGTAACACCCTTATGTGATTCCCTTGTTCTAACGTTATCATCGCAATTCAGGTTTCGTTTTTGTTGTCCCTCAAGCTACACTCTGTCATGAAGACTGCTCGCCCACATTTCAGTTCTTGTGATCAGTGCATATTGCCAGTTTAACATATGGGGCTAAAAGATGGAGGATAACAAAGCAGCCAGAGAAAAAATTCCAGGCCTGCGCGAAAAGTGCAGCACATCCACAGAGAAGAGAAAGCTGGAAGAGCAGCATTCCTAGAGCCCATTGTTAAGCTCCCTTAGTGCTACTAATACAAGTACACTTGTAAGGCACACACTACACAAATTTTTTGTCTAGTTGAGCAGCACATCATATTCATATTTCTAAGGAGAAGTGAGCTACACACGACAGGTTTGCGAGGCATTGTGTGAAGTTTGTTGATGCAGTGGCTGAGGGAAATGAATAAATTCCACTCTTTTTGATGCGATGCAGCTTATGGGAGAGTTCGATCCAGTGGTGTGTGGCGTAACCACCTTTACTGCCCATGCGCAACAGCTGGCCCAAGTGCTACCAGAAAGCGCTCACGCACTAGAGCATTCTGCCCGTCTGTGTAAGGCTCTGTGGGATAAGATGCTATGGCCTCTCTCCCTTACACTGTCAGGTGATAACATCGGGAAGCGAGATTCTGCAGACGCACTGTGAATCAACGCATTGGCACGTGCTAGCACGTTTGGGCCTGCTAAGTGGCTATGTAAGAGGCTGTGGCCTCTCCCCCTTACACTCTCTCAGCAATTACGTGATGGCGTCGAGGAAGAAGATTTTGCAAACACACAATAAAACCACGTGTTCCCACATGGCGTGGCAATGAACCAGCGTCCTCCAGCGAGGTGTGGCTATGTACCTGCATGGCGTGCTCCAACACGATTTCGGGATGAGTAAAAGCAACAAAAATACAGTGAATTCAAGGTGTGCTCCACTTGCGAGCGTGCATTAACATTGCTCAAGATGAACGAAACTTTATGTCGACCCACGCGCTGCTTTGCATGCTACTCATACGTCCCTTTAGTGGCAGATGGTGTATTTTTTGTAGTGGGTTGGAAGCATTCAACGACCCACAAGTAATGCAACTCACTTTGTGTGATGCCTGCTTACGCAATCGGTTGTCGTCTTATTCTTCTGCCACGCTATAATATATTAAAAATGTTAACATCATTCCTTCCTGACATGAAGCCTTTATAGGGTCTTTCCGAGAAAACTGGGCTGCCACGAAGATGACCCAGGTTCGAAACCTGTTCATTCTTTAGTACTTTCTATCAATGTAATTTTTGTTTTTATTTCGCATAAGAGGGATTACATATACCGGCAACGACTGTGGCAGACAACTACAGTGAGAAAAATGGCCACTGTAGTGATTTAAAAACAGCTTTCTTTCTAGGAGTTGTGGACCGCACAGCGCCCAATATAATATAAAATGATAGAGATCGGAAGGTGTCAAGAAGGGTGAAAGCACAAACAGGCAAGTACTGAAGATTGGGCAAGTTGGTGCATTATAGTTAAACTTGCTTATAAAGAACTTCCATACAACAAATTTCTCAATATTACATAGTTTTTATATTTCATGTCATTACTAAATAAAAGCACATGCAGTTGTTGGAACCTCTGTGTAACAATGTGGCAGTGGGAGACACCTTAGACATAACGAATTTTCACCACCAAGTTTTGCACCGGATTTTGTCATTTCAGGCTTGAGCATGCATCCTCCGCGGTTTCCCCGCCACTGATGAAGTGCGAAAGGGCTGAATCGCACACAGCATGCTTGAAGGCCTGGTGACTGCGAGGCAGGAGTGAACACACGTTGGTGGGCACGGGTGTGCGCGAGACCAGCGAGCCAGCGCCCCTTAAGCCAGCATTGCCGCCGTTCTTGACCCCCGGCGGATGTGCCCTCACCCCACCTGCAAACGTAATAATAATAATGATATCCGAAATTTTGCATCCCAAAAGCACGATATCATTATGTGAGACGCCGTAGTGGAGGGCTCCGGAAATTTTGAGCTGTCTCTGTTCGAAAACGTTCTTACAGTTCTTAACGTTGCCATGTCGACTCCGTGCCCTTGCCGCATCGACAGTTTATCAATTCTGTGGTCAATGTCCTCCTCAAGCTCCTATGTCACCGTCGATAGCTTCAGCACAGTAAGCCACTTGTCTTTCTTGTTGGTCTCCCAGTCTTCGTCATCTTTGACTCAGCTAGGTTAAACCTAACTTGTCAATGATGTCATGACTGTGGTGCGGGCCGCAACCGTTTTGGAACGAAGTGGAAGAGCTGTAGTCCCACCAGGAATTGGGGTAAAAAGCTGCGGCAAGTCTGGGCAGCCTCACTCGAGTCTTCCGAGATCGACGACCACTTCCCGGGCCTCTTTGTCTTCAGAACCGGGCAGCTACTGTATCCGTCGCTGTAGCGATGCTTACCTTTCTAATCTTCACAGTTCGAAGGCTCAATGCACAGTAAAAGCTTATCCTCTGGGGTTTTCCATGCCGGCTTGGGTTGCGTGCTATGAGCCTCTGTGTTCAACCGGGCAGCTACTGTATCCGTCGCTGTAGCGATGCTTACCTTTCTAATCTTCGCAGTTCGAAGCCTCAATGCACAGTAAAAGCTTATCCTCTGGGGTTTTCCATGCCGGCTTGGGTTGCGTGCTATGAGCCTCTGTGTTCAATCTTGTACGTGAACATGGCGCGTATGCCCACCATCGAGATCTCGCGCTCGGATGAGAGCCCGGCACATGTCTCGTGCCCTCTTAAAACATTGGCCCACTTTTTAACAATTCTTTTTTCTAAAAAAAAACTGCACTTGTCCTCCTCAGGGATGCAGTCTTCTGATCTCTTGCTAGGAGCATCACTTGTCATCACTCAGGCACAGAATGGCATATCAGCTCCCATCGCTGCACACTTCTGCTTGTCACACCACCACAGTATCACACAATTCACTAATTCACTGCACCAACACTTGACAAATACTCTCAATGTTCCCATAGTTTATTGTCCGGTACACACTAGTCCATAATCTTTACACAGTTTTCACTGCCAACGTTTTTCCCCACACCTTTTCACAAACTGATTTATCTCATTGTGAATCCCCGACCAGAACGTCTCTCTTGTCCCTTCTCTGCGTAGGCTCTTAGGATCCCTACTGCCATTCGCACAGTGATATTCCCATACTATAGCCTGCTAATATATCATCAAAGCTCCATTTTTCCAAAGTTTTCGGAATACCAACTCCTTACTAGATCTATACACTACTACAGCTCTATACCATTCCCTTCTTGGTTTATCCTCAATTCTGTTTATTGCATACCTCAGGAGGTTTTATCCTTTCTTTGCTCTTTTGTGAGCTCCTCTGAGGATACACCTTACCACTCAAGACTTGGCACTTTCATCACCTTAAGCCCTTTACTGTTTCTGCTACTCTCTCTGCCATCCAAGTTATCGGGACAGTTCTGTGTATCCTCTTTTCTGATGCCCTGATTTCCTTGTTTGGCATAGATACTTCACATTGGGTCATCCACCCTTCACACACACGGTCTATTTCCCAAAATAACATCATACAAGAAATCCTCCATGCATTTGGCAGTGATCTGTCCCACAAAATAGGGAGTGTCATCCCTTATCCTGGCATCAGGTAATCTCACCCTTGATCCATCTGCAAAGGTTAAAGTCCTGTTCCTACCTGTGACATTTCTCCCATTTACAAGACTCCTCCTCACTAAAACCGTATCCATACCAGTCTCTTAACATGCCTACTCACCTGCCATTTACTTTACCGTCTACTGCTGGCACATTACCACCTGTCGACATATTTCTCACTGTGCTAACAGCTTCTGCCTTCTCTTCTGACCTACACGCCGTGCTATCCAAGCTCTATTCCAGCACTCGCTAGCTTTACCCCCTTTTCCGGCATAACTGGCATACTATTGACGTTTCCAGTCGACCACTGCTCATTCGGTAGTTCACCCCTGTGTCCTGATCGATCACATAGGAAACACCTTTGCTGTGCACTTGTTTTACTCCTTGGAGCCTCATTCATAGCCCCTTCTTCAGGGTTGTCACTGTTCCCTTCCTCTACATTTCTCAACCCTTGAGCTTCCGTGAACTGATCAGCTCGCCCTGCCATTTTCTCCACTGTGTGCAGCTTCTTCTTTTTCAGATAAACAGCTAGTTCACTGCTGCAACGGTTAAGAAATGGCTAGCCAACTATCTTATCATAGACTCCTTCACATGTTTTTTCAGAGTCCGATAGCTCCATCCACCTATCAAAGTAGTTGGTGAGGCAGCACACAGACTGTTTACCAGTTTCGGAATTCATGGACTTACACACTGGAAACTTCTCACAAAGCCCTTGGACAGTTAGCCAAAAATGCTCTAATAAAGTTTTCTTTACAAGGTCGTAGTCTAGAGACTCTAGAGCCAGCATGTGACCAAGCATGCTTGATGCCTCTCCCGCAAGACACACTCAAGGCATTGGCCCGACACGCCCTCTTACTGATGACACGTCTGTGCCACAGTTTGCTGGATCACACAGTCAAAATATCAACACACGGCTTGACGACGTGCGATGGGTTGAGCAGCTTCAGAAAGCATCTCTTTATGCCACCACACACCTCATGACAGCTAGCAAACTCAAAGGCACAGCACGAGACTGGCATCTCATGTTCCGCAACCAGTACAGCACTTGGGTCATAAGAGTGCCGCCCTAAAGGATACATTCTGTGCAGAATTGTACCTCATCGAGTGGCAAGACCAAGTCATGAGGGTAGCCCAGACACCATCCGAAAGCTTGCACCAATATGCCTTTGCCAAGCTGAGGATCGTTGCGCGTTGCCCACTTCTATGATGGCCAAAAGATTGACTACCTGCTGCATGGTTTACGGGAACAAAACATCCTCAGTGCTATAGCAGCCAACCGGCCGCCTATGGCGACTTTATTTTATTTCTACCTGCACTAGCCTTGACAAAAGTGCGCAAGATTTGCACACCAAAGCATGTTTGTCACCATTCACTGGTTCTCTATTGCCGCTGCCGCAACCTTTTTGTGCCATTAAGCTGACAGAGCAACAGCAGCCTTGCTCAGAATCATCAACACCACCGTCAACCTGAGGTGCCACATCAAGAACGTGCATTTTAGAGCTGCCCATCAGCAACAAGAAGCTACTTATGCAGCTTTGTCAAGGCAGTAAGGCGCTCCAGCTTTTTGGAGTCGTCCAGCTTTCCGGAGAGTGCTTCCTCTGCTTCCATTATTTGTTTTGTGATTTGCTTCCTGTGCTGTCAATTACTCGTGTGTCACAAGGTTTCCTGGCTGGCAAGTGCACTCCCGGCAGTTGCATGGCTGGTGCAGAAGCCTAGCTAATGTTCCAGCCGCACACAGTCACACCGCACACAATTAACGTCCCTTTTTTGTGGCTCGAGTAGTCATACCCACGATGGGTTCGGGCAAATAATACAGCAGGCTAGGTCAATAAAAACAACACTTTATTGCTGCGTTAGCAAGAACGTGTAATTGTCATGTATAACAAAGAGTAGGCTTACGCCTTTGGTCGTCAATCACCTTGGCTCGCAGAGAAATCCGAAGGTTATCCTCCCAGTCTCCAGGTGGCTGGCGCCACAGAGAGCGTCTGCTCTCTTTGGCGCCGGGGGGGGGGGGGGGGGGGGATAGCGCATGCCGGCCACGGGGTGAACAGCTTTTCAAAAGAAGCTCCATTGTCTCTGTCTCGAAGGGACCGATGTGTCCTCGCAACTAGGCTGCTGCACTGCCGCAAAAACAAAAGGAAGCATGGGCACGTGTGCGTCCCCGCACAGTGCATCGCTAAGTGCTAGTATGGGGCCCCCTTTATTGGATTCTCATGTTCACAAAGGCGCACGTTCAGGCAACGACCTATTGAGCTTCCACAGCACCTTAAAGAGCAGGAGATGCTGAGGAAATAGCATCTATGTGCCTTTCACATGTAAAGTGTCAGCAACACACTGGTTGCACCAAATCATGTACGTATATATAATTTGGCTTCTGCATTACCTCATTCTTGATAAGACATCTATAAAACAACAACCTGCAGGTGCTTCATCAACCTAGCACAAATAAACACTTTCATGTTATTATCTCATAAGAAACTGCTTAAGAATCCTCCGCAACTTTTTTTCTGCAATTTCTTTTCAAAGTATTCGAAAATTATTCAGAAAATATTCAAGAAGCTTTTAAAAAATTATTCTATTTGATTTGCACTATCACTTCAACATTCAAATTCGCTTTGGACACAAAATTTTGCAATTTTCACAGCGCTATCAATTGATACTAAACTGCCTTTCCTGGTTTGGTATGCTGCGCCCCATTCAGTTGCTCTTTTTTGTCATTAGTGCGGCACCATGTAAGCAAAGCATGTAATGTGTTGTACAGTTGTGGAACAGGCAGCCAGGTGTTGCAGAAATCCTAGTTCACATCAAGCAAAAGAAGCAGGCCTGGACTGGCCCCATGATAGGAAGACAACCAGCGAACAGTCAGGGCAACAGAATAGTCACCAAAGGGATGGGAAATGCAGTCGTGAAAGGCAGATAAATGATAAAATCAAGAAGTTTGCAAGGACAGAATGAAATCGACTCACACAGGACAGAGCAAGTCATTGGGAAAGACCTTGATCCCACAGGGAATGAAGAACACAGGCTGAGAATGATGATGATACCTTTTGAGTTGTCCTCGTACAGTGTAGAAAAAAATTTGCCCGCTGAGTTCTAGCACAGTAACCTTTTCTTCTAGGAGAAGCTGGCTTATCAAGCACTCACTGAAGGCTGTCACGAGCGCTGGGCTTGCGTCGTCCAGCTGCCTTGCCTGGCTCCAACAGCTGGTGCTCCCAGATGGCATTGGCCCCGCTCGTGTGCAGGCTGTGCACCATCTGCAGCGAAGTGCAATAGACCATACATACAGCAATGCACCAACACAACTGCACTGGCAACTGAGCAGGCGGGCTTCACATACTGCGCCCAACAAATCACTATAGCAGCCCATGTAACAGTGCTCAAAACTGGGAAGACGACACGAAGAGAGTGTAAAGAGTGCTGATTTCCAAATGTTTTATTTCGGCAAACAGTTAAGATGGCAGAAATTCCTCGAGCGGGAGAGGAATTTGTCAGCAAGCCATTGCTTGCATTGGCCAAACATGAGCTAAGGTCTTTAGAAACTTGGTGTTTAAGACTTGTCAATATCACCCAGTACATTTCTTGCTAATTGCTTTTTTCCTTTGGCTTTTTTCGGAAAAAAACTGTTTAAAGTCATCTCTTCTTACACACTAACTGCATCATCCTTTCCAGCTGTGTTTAAATAAATCAACTAGCCCAGCAAGCAACCATCCTTGACTATTTTAGCCAACAACCATAGAAAATCAATACAAGTAAACAATTGCCACGTCCAAAAACAATATGAATTTTCAGACTATATATGTCAAAGCAAGCACATTTTATTGAAGCGTTCACAACCAATTCAAGAGAGTGATATGTGAGGTTTAACGTCCCAAAACCACCATATGATTATGAGAGACGTCATAGCGGAGGGCTACGGAAATTTCTACCACCTGGGGTTTTTTAACGTGCACCCAAATATGAGTGAAAACATAATGGTCACACATGCACTTGCCATACTGCGTAAAATAAACAACGACGTTTTCTTTAACGTGCATTCCCCCTGATGCTTGAACACAGTGCACTCTCATCCAGAAAAGATTCAAGGCAACACTTTCAGTGAACAAATAAGCAAAATCTCAGAGCACCAACAATTTGCACCCCACCCAAGATGGTGACAATATTGTTGAATTACTGGTGTTCCATGACGAACTCCTTCGCCACCTCGACTGTCCTATCCATATTGGTTATGACACTGCCTTCCTTGTTCCTCAATGCATACATCCGATTTTCGCCTAGGCACAAGTTTGCCTTTGTAGCTGTTAGGCTTCTGCCACTTTATACAGTCTGCTCAATTCTTTCCATGCTTACCTTCTGATATCTGCTACCTTACACCTATAGATTAACTTCGAAAGCTCCACTATCTCTATTTTGTCAGCTGCACTTGAGGCTTCCATGGTTCGTCGTCTCTTAATAAGATTTTTCGTCTCCTGAGATAGTTTTCCAGTGACCTGTCTAGTGACTGTACCTTCGCCTTCTATTGCACACACTTTGATGATACTAGTAAGATTATCGTTCATTGTGTCAACGCTAACGTCGGTAACCTCGTTTAGTGCTTCAAACCCATTCTTAAGCAAAACTCTGAATTCCTGTACTTTCGCTTCTTGTGTCTTTTTTAAAATCTAGATGAATACAAGCTTTTAATATTATTTGGTCACTGCATTTGATCTTGCCAACTACTTCTGCATACTGTACAATGCCTGGGTGTGCACAGAGAATGAAGTTTATTTCATCTTTAGTTTCACCATCGGGTCTTCGCCAAGTCCAATTACATTTAGCCTGTTTTCTGAAGAAGGTATTCAAGATCCAAAAATTATTACGTTTTTCAAACTCTGCTAATAACTCCTTTCTGGCATTTCTTGAGCCGATGCCCTATTCCCCCCCCTGTATGGTTTGCGGCCTGTTTGTTGCGTACTTTGGCATTAAGTTCGCTTATCAGAATGGTTTACCGTGTGCGGGTGTTAACACCCCCTGTAATATTGTATGTGCCTCATGGCGCACGTGTCTCGCGCATAAGCCGCATTCAGGGGTGACAACTATCGAGTGGTAGGTGCCGTTGTGATCGCAAATGTTTATCACCACCATCATCATCATGGTTAGAATGATGGCGCCGGCAGTGACGCCTGGCGGCAAGCCTTGGTGGGGCACAGGGGAGATGAGCGGGTCTCTTTGGCATGCAGCGGTAGGAGCGAACGGTCGTCTTTGGCAGTGGGCCTGTGAGTATGGCACCGCGGGTAGTTGCTCGCGGGCCCATATGTGTAGAGCGCTTGCGACGCTGTCTTGCGTGTGTTCTTGTGTTTGTTACGTTGTTGAGTTTTTGTAATATTGTGTAATGGTGCTTTAGAGGGTTCATCACACTTAATCTGTATATTAATTCAGCTGACGATATTGTTGATCTAAGAATATTTAAATAAATGTGGGTTGTTTTGGTTCGTTTCGACCATGTCTGCTGTGTCTGTTTACTCCAAGAGCTTGGTGCTCTCAACACCGAGACCCCACACTGGCTGCACAACGTGGAGCTATTGGAGCATCGGACATCAGTTTTCGCAGTTCGGAACAACAATTTTTTGAGCTGGTGTAGAGGAGGCCTAGGGGGACTTCCATTGCTAGCTTCAGCAGTGTGATTTGTTGAGAGCGAGGCGATTTGTTGTTGTGACGTGCTTGAACTTGTCGGCACGTTCAGTTTACTTTTTTTTTCTATTTGCAAGTGTTTTCTTTGTTGTTGTTGTTGTTGTTGTTGTTGTTGCTTCAATAACGTTGTTGAACTGGCACGTGAGCCATGCAGTCTGCATCCTGGGGTGAGCACAGCTTAGAGCACGTGGATTGTAGGCCAAGCCTTAAGCGAGCGAGTACGGAAGCCCTGTGGGTAGTCCGATTTTCTGTAAATAGCTTCTTCTATCTTTTTGGGCTCAGGGAGCTGGGCGTTATTGCTGTCTTGTCTTGCGGCTCGATGCTGCGGCATCGTGACACTGTCCTAGAATGTGGCCGCCGATCGCTCAGTAAACTGCTGTGTAGGGCGAGCGAGTAGGGCCACCTTACAAAGTGGATGTCTCCTCGTACCTCTTCTGCGCCTAGGCTGGGTGCTGGAAGGATGCCGGTTGTTGCCAAGCGACTTAATGGGCCTAAGGCTCTGCACAGCCATCTGTCGCACGTGGCACAACTAGGACCGTGGTGTTGAGGTGTTGCACTCTGCTTGCCCACTTTTTTCATTTTTACCTTGCAATGCACGAGTTAGGAAAAGTGACCTTTATTTTATTTTTGATGGGCTTCTTGGCCGACGCCCATGTACTTGCGAGCAGTACTGACCATTGTACCATGTGGGCGAGAAGCTGGAAGCTCCCTTCCCTATGCCCTACTGCATTGTTCCGTCAAGCTTTTTAGTGTGTGCAGCGGGAGTGATGTAACTCGCAGCTGGTAGTCTTCTGGACATCATCTTCACTGTCGGCGAGAAACGCGGTCGTGAGATGGGGCGATGGACATGACTGGGACCTGCTCAACTGCCTCCAGTCCACCGCCCTCGTGAGTGCTGGTTGCAACCAGAATACATGTCGGTGCGAGTGACGGTTCCTCGTGCCAACAGCAACGTTGTTGTTGCGGGACCGGTACTGGGGTAAATTCGTCGAGCTGGACAGTGCAGCAGTGTCAACCGACGGCGGTGTTGTGGTGCACAAACACTTTTTAAGGACATGTGTTGTCATTTTCTGTTAGAGCTTGTGTAGCTGTTTTTTCATGCTTTTTTTTTTTTTCCGGGATATGGATTGAATTAAGGTTGGGGGAATGTGGGGGTGCTAACACTCCCTGCTATGTTGTTCGCGCCTCATGGCGCACGTGTTTCGCGCACAGACCGCATTCAGGTGTGACAACTATCGAGCGGTAGGTGGCGTTGTGCTCGCAAGTGTTTATCCCCACCATCATCATCATGGTTAGAACAGTGCGCCGGCAGTGACGACTGGTGAAAGCCTTGGTAGCGGCACAGGAGGGATGAGCGGGTCACTTTGGCGTGTGGTGATTGGAGCGAACAGTTGTTTTTCGCGGTGGGCCCGTGAAAGCGGCACCGTGGGTTGTCGCTCGCGGACCCTCGTGTGTCGACCGTTGACGCCGCCGTCTTGTGTGTGTTCTTGTGTTTGTTATGTTGTTGCGTGTTGTGTGATATTGTGTACTGGTGCTTTAGAGGGTTCATCACAATTTATGTGTATATTAATTCGGCTGACGATATTGTCAATTTAAAAATAGTTTAATAAATGTGTGTTGTTTTGGTTCGTTTCGACCCTGTCCGCTGTGTCCGCTCACTCCAAGAGCATGGCACTCTGGACATCGAGACCACACTACCATTTCTTTACTTTATTAATAGCTGACTTTACATCTTCATAGCAGCGTTCAACAAAATTATCATCATGGCTCGATGTAGGCACGTAGGCCTGTGCCACCTGCATCTTCTACCTTTTGTTAAACTTAATCACGATATTTGCCACCCTCTCACTGATGCTATAGTATTTCTCTAAGTTGCCAGCGATATTCTTGCGTATAAGAAACCCCATCTCTAGTCTTTTTCTGTGAACTAATCCACGGTAGCATAGGACGTGTTCGTTCTTTAGCACTATATAAGCCACACCTGTCCTAAATTCGCTGAGCCCTATGACATTCCATTTAACACCCTCTAGTTCCTCAAATAGCACAGCTACACTAGCCTCACTAGATAGCATGCTAGCGTTGAAGAAAGCTAAGTTCAGATTCCAATGGCGGCCTATCTAAACCCAGAGACTCTTAGCACCCTCTGCTGCGTCACAGGTCTGACCGCCGCCTTAGACAGTTGCTTCCCAGCGGCTGAGTATTGAGGGCCAAGGGTCAATAGACCTCTACCGGGGTACGTCACAGCGTGACGTCACCGGTGCACGTGCAAGGCAGTGGTTGGCAAAACACTTCCGCTGGTGGCTGGGTGGGGTGCAGTCGCTCGGTGCTTGGGGCAAGTTTTTTTTCCTTTTAAAAGCTTACTTAATCTTCATCTCACAGTGGCAACATTAGCTGCGGTATGTGTCAGAGAACATCTAGGTGTGTGGTAAAGTGAGTGATCAAATATTTGCCACGCTGGCTTGCTGTTTATCTCGGATAAGTGAACACACGTGGAGGCCAGTGTGACGAACAGCGGCATCGTTTTCGAAAATGTGCAGTGTTGACTGTGGCGTGTAGTGTGCGTTAAAAGGCATTGACAATATTGGTT